GCAGTCCGGCTTATTGCCCTGGAGTGGGTGTCCGGCTTGCTAGAGCAAAGGCCTGGCTTTGTGAGCGCTGGTCTGGGCTTCAGGATGTTGGCCAGGTGTAAAGGGAGCCCTCGGTTTGGGGGTGAGGGTCTGTCGGCTTGTGGTGGGGCAGGGGAACAAAACAGCTTCCGGTTCTTGCTCCTTCCTCTTCCTCCTTTCAAAACAAACACAAAGGAGCTGCCTGGAAAGATGCTGGCTGTTTCCAAGAGGGCTTTGCTCCGCCTGAGAAGATGGGGTGCCGCTCGTCATTTCTTTGACCTTCTCTGCCACTGTAACTGTTCCTGTATTCACATCCATCTGAGCATGCTGGGATAGCATGTGTACCTCTACTTACAGTTTATAAAATAATCTGAGTGTTTAAAAAAAAACCTAAACCCTGAGTTAAGTTAGAAACATCCTGCTGATGAGGAAGGTCTGAGGAGGTGGCAGCCATGGTCTGCCTTAGGACCAGTCACTGCATCGTTGGTCCAGGCAATCTGAAATGTTCCTGCCCCAGAAACTCATTTGGGAAAGGTGGTGGAACCTTCTGGCTGTCCTGTGTACCACTGTTCTTCACAGCACGCAAATGCAAGCACAGGGATTTCAAAGGCTAGTCATATATCTTAAACAGTTTCTCTGCACAGCACAGATGTGAGCTGTCTGTTAAAATCCTGTGCTTGTTACAGGGGAGAGGATAGACACTTTCTAACCTCTGCTTGTAAGCCAGCCTAGATATTCAGCTTTGGCTCTGGATAGTACTATAGCCACTGTGTCAATAAAAGCAGAGGAAAAGCCTCCCTCCCTCCCTCATGGCTGTGTATTTACTCTCTGTCTTCAGCTGTACCTTTCTAATGGGAGCTTAAAATGTTGAAGGCCTGAAGAGCAAAATACTCGCAAAAGATTTTCTTGCTTTTTAAGGATAACTGATTATGGGAGAGGCCCTCATCCCGTCTTCCCCCCAGTACGGATGTATTAAAAGATGTACCAATGATGTATTTCTGTCCAGACGTGGGTTCTTTCCCAGCTTTGGCCATTAATTGCTGCAGGAGATTCTGCTGTCTGAAGCAATTTTTTTCGTACTTGTTTTGTTTGTACTACGTGTCCACAGAGTACTCGGTAAAATAACCCCCAGAAGCTTGTACAATTATTTATAAATATATTAGATATCTATCTTATAATTTTTTTTTCTCAAATGTGGTGTGGATTGCTGAAGGGGAGCATAAAGGTTGCTTAATAAATATAATTGTTTAGTTGTCAGTCGTCTAAGACCTTGTGGTTTTATTTTTGGATAGCCCCATTGTATTTTAGGTGATAGATTTCAGACGTCCACTGTTTGCTGAAGTATTTCTTTTTTAAGAAAAAATTTCAAGACATCAGAAGATGATGCAGTTTGCACTGATGAGGCTGGAAAGAATAGTTAATAGGACCCTTAAGCATTCATTAGCAGCTACTTCTTACTCCAGAAAGAGTTTATTTGTTATCACCTGAGTTATTGTTACACCTGGTCTTTTCTCCTTTGTATGCTTGACCTCTTAGTCATCAAATTAATTTGTCCTTTGATGACTGAGTCTTGCATAGTGGCTATTTTTTTAAATAAACCTAAGGAAATTTGGATTAATTTGTTTACAAGCCAATTTGGTAGGGCATGGATGGAATCTGCAGTATTCTGACATGAACTGGTTCTGATCCATTGCTAAAGACAGACATTTATTAATATGCCTGGGAAGGAGTGGGGGGAATGGCCAGAGCTGGCTTCTGATCTGTGAAGTGAAATATGTGAAACTAATGAACTGCAATAATTGGGTCACACACAGTAATGTAACTGGTTCTCCTTCAGCATGGGTTTTATTATGGGCAGGGATATTTATTAAGATCAGCTTCTGCAGTTTTGTCTGAATAACTCTAAGTTAGTTATAGTTAATGGATAATGGCTGTAAAAACCCAACAGCTAGAAGTAATTAGGAAATGTCGTGGTATAAAAGTCATTCTGCATTGCTTTTGCACTACCTTTTACAGACATGGGAGACCTGAGGCCAACTTTCCTAGAGAATGAGACCTGGCTGGTTCTTTTCTTTGCTCCAAGTGATTTGTCAGTGTCATCTAGAATATGTCAAGAGCCAAGAACTGTACTTCAGTCTCTCCATCGTAGCAGTCTCTCAACTGCAGGGCCCTTTGCCTGCTCAGAGCAGACTGTTTCAAGCACAAAATACACCTAGCAGCAATTTCTAAATACCAAACTTCCTGTCTTGAAATTAACCGAAGGCATGATGCTTGTGTAGTGTTTGAGGGAGAGATGCCAGTGCAGAGAACAGATTGGAAAACAGCTCTCCTCTTCAGGAAAGTGGTGGTAGCTATACTCCTGGTATTGTTAACTGATACACTACTAGTTTTGGAGTGTATGACTGTCACCTTCCAAGTTTAGACTTTGATCTTCCTCTCCAGGCAGCCAGGCCTTGATATTACTTTAATTTTCTTCCTCTGAATGTTTGACACGATCTGCTCACATTTAATGTTGTACATTTGGCTAGAATTGCGTGTGCTACGTGTTGGTAAGGTAACAGAGACTTTTGAAATTACTTCAGTCTTTAATATGTGAAATTATAATGTATATTTAATAGGATAGATTGGAGTTGAGAAGTAACAATGGCCCTTGAAGCATAGAATTGTCTGGTTGGAAGAGGCCTTCAAGATCATTGAGTCCAACCATTCACCCTGCACTGTCAGGGTCCCTAAACCCTGTTCCTCAACACCAAATCCACGCGGTTTTTAAACACCTCTAGGGATGGGGACTCCACCACCTCCCTGGGCAGCCTGTTCCAATCCTTTGCAACCCTCTCTGTAAAGAAATGTTTCCCGATATCTAACCTAAATTTAGATATCAGGAAATGGAATGCTGCAGTTCAGGTGGCAAATCATAAGGTCCTCTCACTGGGCTAATCAAATGAATAAAAGATTTTAGGCTTGCATGGGGAGAGTAGTACTGCTAAGAAGCTACAAGTGTTAAACGTGTTCCTCACCCTGCCTTGATCATCTCCTGACATAAATGCTCTGAAAAGTGATGGAATACTCGGAACACCTGCAGGTCCTCATGAGATTTCCTACATGTTCAGACAGGTGAAACATCACAATATCAAGAAAATTTGGAGTAGGAAAAAGTAAAAGTTGTAGTTTACTGCTAAAATAGATGGCTGCAGAAGAATAGCTCTGTCTCTAGCTGAGGTGTAAAAGAATGTGGAGTTTTAGCTGTTTGAGCCTAATTGTTATCCGGAGGCAAACAGCAACGGAGCTTTGGCATACCTTGAAAATTTGGATCAACGTGGGAGTCTGTGGGAGTCAGAAGGTACCGCATCTTTCATGGCAGTGTCCTGACAAGGCTCTGGACTTGGCTTGCTTAATTATGGCTCGTAGCCCGCCGTGATAAATGTGTCCTCTCTCGCATTTGTGATTAACTCGTGGGCTTTACCGCAGTGGTTTGTCAATGCTCAAATGAGAGATTCTTGCTGAATTTGGCTGTGGAAAGGTTGGTAGTGAGTCCAGTAGATAACTTCTGCTGGATAATGGATTTTTGCATTTGCCTTTCAGATCTTGCGTGGGTGACTGCATTGGCACAGAGTGCCCAGTGTGCCACATGCCAGCCTGGGTGCAAGATGCCCAGATAAACCGGCAACTGGATGACATGATTCAGCTTTGCAGCAAACTGCGGCATCTCCTGGGCGCGGACACCTCAGGTAGGAGCAGACCTGGGTCTCCGACAGCTGCTGAATCCAGACCACGCCGTTTTGTTTCACAGGCTTTGTAGGGAATGAGCAGTGCAGCCCTGTTTAAGATGCTGAAAGGCTGTTCCGAATCACGTTTGGAAAATTTGATTTGGAGGGAACTGCCTGTATGGATTGCTCGTTCTTTGAATTTGTTTTACTAAGAAATTTGCATGAGGGGGTTAGTCCATAATTCATTAGAATCTGTCTTCCAAAATTAGACGGATGTGGGATATATTCCCGAGTCACGTGGCAGTTAGTTGCTCAAACCAGGGGCACAGGTTGGCACATCTTGTTCTCTTAAAGGAGCACAAATGTGTGATGTTCTGCAGCGTACACTTTAGAGGGGCCCTGTTTAAGGATTATGCATGTGTTCTCTTGCCTCTTGTGTATTTGTGCACCGAGGTGTACGTGCTGTCCCAGTAATTTTCAGTTTAGGATTTTTGCACATGGAAGAAACTATCTGTGTCCCTTGCCTAAAAGAGGAAAGAGGCAAGTCTTAAGTCCTTCGTTTTCTGGTCCCTAGCACTCAGCTAGTTTTCCACCATGCAGTCTTGTCATTGCTGACTGTGCTAAGAAGATTGCAGAGATGGTACTCTGGGAATTCATTTCTTTATCAAATTTTAGGCTGATTGTCAAAGTAGGAAAAAATGAAGTGAAATGAGCACAGGTGAATTTGTCTCTTCTGCAAGCCCAGAGAGGAGCATTTTATGTAACACCAAGTTTTAGAAAACATTCATTTAGCTGTCAGATACAGAAAAGGTAATTCTTCCTTCATTGTTGCTTCCGAATATGTTTGTCTAAATTAAAGATTCTTTTTCTAAGGCTGATGCCATTGACCCCTTCATGTTCATTTATGGGGTAGCTCTTGACATCAAAATGCATTGAAGTGAGGAGGCTGGAAGCCTATGTCTGACTGTAAAGAAATTCATTTTTATATAGATATAAAATCCTACAGTGATTAAATCTTCTGGATCATAGAAAATGTAGATGATGGTTTAAACAGGATTTCAGGGAAACATTTTAAGTGGTGAAAGCTTAGCTGGAGGACAATCTCTGAGGAGCTATTTGTGATGCTCTAAATAAAGCATTTAAAATACAATATGGTAGTATTGATACTGTTTAGATGTTTTGGAGAACTTAACAGATGGATTAAGTCTTACAAATTGGTCTGTTTCACTGTACTAGAAGTTGCATGATACGTTTAATCCTATAGTTCCTCTAAAACAAGATTTCCATGGTGTGTTTAAACCACAGAACAAAAGGAGGTTCTTTTTATCATTCCTTGTTATAACTTAAAAGCAGACACAAAATTGAAGTTCACAAGAGTGTTTTATTTGGAGCTAAAGTTATGAACTGATGTGGGAGACGACTTTCCATCACTTGTAGTCTTTTCCCTCTACTGAGGATTAATGGCCTTTTGGATGTTTCATACTGAATTTAAGGGAAAGACCTCCTGAGTTGGTGATAGTTCACTGTCTGGAATGGTTTGGATGCAGAAGTAAATGAACACACCTCTAGCAACAGCTGATTATGTGTTGTACTATGGCAAATCACAGGATGCTGTAGCTTTACAGATTTGGAGAGTAAATCCTTTAGGATGTTTTATCACTCGTCTCTGGCAAATCTGTCACCTCCCATAGGTGTAGGTCTTGAACTTAATGTATACAAAGTGAAATACGTTTGAGTTTGGGGAATCGGGGCCTCTCTTGTTAAGGAGTTGCTTTCCTGTTCTTGCGGCACTGTACTTCTGCCATGTTCCTGTCAACAATATTTTATTTTATGTTCCAGTAAAGGAAACAGACTGAAAAATCAGTCTTTCTGTGGAGGAAAGGAAGAAAAGAATTTGAAAAAGGGATCTTTCATTTATGCCTTTTGCATATTTGTTTTATATGCCTTGTTTTGAGACAATTGTGGCTTGTCTCAAGGCTCCTGTTTGAGATTTTGTTGACACTGCAGTTTTGAATGCAAATGCCTCACACTACCCATTTTTAAATCTAAGACAGACCTAGTGAACGCAGTAAGTTCAGTGTGTTGTCTTTAAAAACACTCAGAACTGCTCTGACTGAAAAGGATAGGGTTAAGCTTGCATGCTGAATAGTTCCACATATAAAAATCCCTGTACCCCCGGGTTCTGCAGTGGATATGAGAGGGATCTCACTTCGTGCTTCACTGGGATAAGGATAGCTCTTTGCAAACATGGTGTGTTCTAAGAAACAACAGCAAGTAATTCAGGAAAGTCTGTACCAGACAGCTAATGCTTCCCTTCCAAGTTAAATGGAAGCACAGCAAATGGCACTACAGAATAGTACTGGGGTGGCTGAAGGGGAACTGGCAAACAACGAACCTGAAACTGGCTAGAAAATGCAAACTACAGGTAGCAAATGCTGAGTCTCAAAACGAATTCACTTGTTAGGGATGTTGTATCCTTAGTCGGTGGCAAGGTGAGGAGAGCTGTCTGACCTTTTCACTGCCTAGTGTTGCACCTTTCCGAGGGTAATGGGAAGCTATCTGGCTGGCAGGCTTTGTGGATGGGATGTCTACACCTCAAAATTTTTAGCTCCGACGTTGCAGAGTCCAAGACGTTTTGAGAATTGGAGTTGATGGGATGGTAGGCAATTAGTAAGAGGTTGTTGTATCATGGACATAGTGCATATAGTATACTGGAGATGGAGAAGGTTGATACAGTAATGACTTTGAAAGTGAGTTTCTAAATATCTTCAGATTTTTTTGTGTGATGTTTTTTAAAAAGAAGAGTTCTCAATTTTCACAGCCATTTATAGATGATTTAACCTTATTCTTCGTAACATAATCTGCCTCACTCTAACACAAACAGCAAGCCTTCCTCCCCTCTTCTCGTGCAGAGGTAGACCTTGCAGGTGTTGGTCAAAGCTTCATAAGCTTATGTTGATGCTGGTGGACATTAGGAGAGATTAACTTTTGACTAGCCTTTATAGTATCATAATTTAGTTTCACATTCACTGATGTGGAGAGAAAGATGTTGAACTCCTGTTGTAACAGATTACATTGCATTTCATCTGTGCTATGACATTTTCTTCGTAAGAGCTAAAGATGAGTTTTTGAATAGCTGGAACTTCTCCCTTTTCCCTCCTGTGTTGAATACTTGCAAAATAATCATTCTTCAGTGAAGGCACTAATGTTGCACAGATGGTACCAAAGCACTTCCCTTTGATTTTTAATAAGGGACTAGTTTGTCAAAGAGATTTCTCAACTTCTGTTCTGAAACCCATAATAGAGAATAATTTGAAAGGCACACAATGTGCATCATTATATTCCTTTGATGCAGATTAATGATAGCTAAACCGCATTTTCTAATTGCTCCTTTTTTTTTCCTGCCCTAGCCTGTTATTGCACTACAGCAGAACTTGGAGATGTAGCTCTCCAGTTGCAAGATGCTGTGTATCTCCTAATATTTTTATCTCCCTTCAACCCTTTTAACACTTGAAAAATTCAACTCCATTAAACGTCAGCATCAAGAAACTGTGCTTAAATGTGCAAATAAGTAATTTAGAAAGAATTCAGTTGTTACACTGTGTATATGAAAGTCATGTTTGATAGGTAATGGAGAATAAATTTACTGCATTTATTATAGGCTGATTCTAATACTGGTTTTGTGGATGGTCTTTATGCTACTGCAAATGCTTAAAATCCAGAATTAGTAAGGCATGCTCTACTGATTTACCATGTCTCAATGCACCTTTCGGGAGGATGCTTCTTAGGTATTACAAAGGCAATTAAATCTTAATCATGTCTAGTCATTTTTTTCATTCCTGTTGAGACACAAGCTCTGGCTTCCAACTTGGAGACAGCAAAAAAATTCCTTTGCATTGATTTTTCTATAAGCAATTTTCTCTGAAGGTAGTTTAACTGAATGCACTTAGCTACCAGATACTACCCTCTTTATAGAAATTAATATTTACATATTAAACCATAAGAACTTCCTTTCAGTTTCTTAGCACTGTGTCTTTTCTCTCTCTCCCTCTCCCAGCTCTGGGTCCATCAAAGGAGATTTTCAGGGAGGGTAGATTGGCCATTTGTCCATATTACTTCTACTCCAGACCTTGTACGCTTTGGAAACGGAGGAAAGGGGCAGCAGAGTCTAAGAATAACATTTCTTTGCAGATGCTATGCAGAACTGTTCAGGTAAAGTTGATTTTAGCTACAGAGTGTTCCGAAAGATGGAGTTATTGAAGAACGGCTCAGAGACAACACGCATCCTGGCAGAAATTCCAGTATCTTCCCCAGTAAGCTTTGGAGAGGTACCGAGTGCGTGTGGCTGGCCCCGCGATGCGACGGCTCTTTTCACAGTATGTGTGGCCTTTTAATGATGTTCTGCAAGTGCCTCCCTGTTCTAAAACACACATACGCCTAAAAGTAGTTGCATGTGAGGAAAAATAATCCTGGGAAAGTATTTATTTGGTGTGTTTCCAGCAGGTTTTTAATAACCTGACTAGTAAGTCCCTGCTGAGCAACCAGTAATGAGCAGATCAGTTTGAGGACCCTTGTGGTTGATTTTTCACCAGCTTTCTTGCTGCCAGAAGTGGTATATACATAGCTTCCAGTGTAAATACTTAATTGTGTTGTGCTGCTTTAGATCCTACTTCTGAAGGACTGTTCCTTTGACTGAATTTGTCACTTGGACTTCAAAGTCTTACTGGGCTATACACATCAAAAAGAATTCTGGCCATCACAAAAGTGTCGCACAAATTACTTTTGCAAGCTGATTTTATTCTTGCTCTTTACTTGGAGATGACTGATAGTTCTAGCAAGGTAAATATTTTAGAAGGAAATCTGCTAGTTGTGTAAACAGCGAAGGCAAGACAAGTAAATAGTAACTGTGTTTTATATTTTGCATCTGTTTGCAATCAAGCTCTTGCTTTTTTTAGATGTTATTGTCAGAACAAAATTGGATATGATATCTTTCTGAAAGCTAGCTAGCTGGAAGATTTCAGTCTCAATTTCAGTGCTTTTTTTTTTCCTGTTTGCACCAAGCTCAGCCCTACAGGAAAACCAAATAGCTGCAGTTCTAAGCTGTAGTATTGAACACACTTTGGTCTGATGCCTTACATATTGCTGCTTTCCAGTACTTAAAGGGGGCCTACAGGAAAGCTGGAGAGGGACTTTTTACAAGGGCGTGTAGTGACAGGACGAGGGGCAATGGATTTAAACTGAAAGAGGGGAGATTTAGATTGGATATAAGGAAGAAATTTTTCTCTCTGAGGGTGGTGAGGCACTGGGACAGGTTGTCCAGAGAAATTGTGGCTGCCCCATCCCTGGAAGTGTTCAAGGCCAGGTTGGATGAGGCTTTGGGCAACCTGGTGTAGTGGAGGGTTTCCTTGCCCATGGCAGGGGGGTTGGAACCAGGTGATCTTTGAGGTCCCTTCCAACTCAAACCATTCTGTGATTCTATGATATTACTCTACCTAAATCTCCTAATTTCTAGCATATTTTAATTCAAGGGGTAAGTGAGGTAATGAGGTAATTTAAATCAAGGTTGAGGAGACATTTAACCTTGAAATATTGCTTTAAGAGAAAACTACAAATGTCTATTTTGGTGTTGAATTACTGGCTATACAGTTCTACATGAAATTTCAGAGGTGTTTTTTTTGAGGCTAAGGGATTGGGACTAGTTTGCTATCTGTGAGTTTATCACAGCTTGCTATGGAAAACAGACTATAGTTACTAATGCCAAAAATAGAAGATATGGAAAAGCCAAATTATCTGTAGAAAGTTAACACGCTGAAGTAAAAGTAATACACTGTTGCGGTGAGTGCGTGACTTTCACTTTTAATCATCAAGACTTTGTATAGTTGATTTCAAGAATGTTTTTTAAAAGGCCCACTAACCTTTGGCTTTAGTTCTGTTTAAAAATGATAATACTCTACTTGCCTCACTAGGCAAAATTAATATTGGAAAAAGGCCCACTAACCTTGGCTTTAGTTCTGTTTAAAAATAATAATACCCTACTTGCCTCACTAGGCAAAATTAATATTGGTTTTGTGATTGCTATAAATCATGAGAACTTTTGTGGATGGTCGTCCCTGAGGTTGGAGGCAACAGAAAGAGTGAGCTGTGTGTTTACTTTGGAGGACTTGTCCAAGAAACCTAAAATAACTTAAGCTTCTAGGAAGAAATCTGTAAAAAAAAAAAAAAAAATCTGTTACAGTTCTTTTGCACTAAGAGAGTTGTTGTCAAATTAAATTAGTGTCTAACTTAGAGGTCACTTTATGGTCCTTAATTTATTCTTAAGCCATTGAGGACACCATTTGTAGTCCTTGTTCTCAACTGTTATTTCATGCACTGGGAGTACAAGATATTCTTCCATCATCTTGGTTATTGATTTGTAATGTGCTGTACAATGTGACTTAAAAATTGCTCCACTGCATATTTTTAAAGAAAGGTTTGAGGTCATCAAAATGTGTAATTTCCATGAAATTATTTATTAGCAAGGGGTAAAGGAGGAAATGATAGGACTGCAAAAAAAAAAAATAAAAATCTGCAATTACTTGCTGATTTTCTATATATTCATCTGATTCATCTGCCCTGTCTGTGGAATCTGTCAAAATTTGTTCAAAATGTTCAGCATTCTTGTAAGGATGTTATTTTTGCTTGCTTGCAGTTATTCTTCCTGTCAATCTTCAGGTGAACTGTAACATCTTTTTAGAAAATAGTTTCTGTGCTTTTTTGTGTACGCACACACTACTTTGTTAAACCTATTTCCAAGGAAAAACTCAGTGAGGGAACCAGCTTCTCTCCTCTCTATAACCTGGTGAGAAATCTTCTGTGCACGTGCTGTGTTGTGAACTCAGGCTGTTGAGGAAATTTCTCTGCCAGGGTGCTTGATTGCCTAGTGGATAACTTTAGCTGCCCGGGGATCCCTGAACTCCGGAGTGGCATGCGACCTTGCCAGTTGTTTTGAAGCCATTACGTGTGTCCCTTCAGAAGAAATGAAGGCACTCATACGTTGTATTTAGTAACACTTCATCAGTTATTACAGTTGTATTCTGATTTTTGTTTTCTTTGCCATGTTCTACGGAAAGGTACTCTAAATTATTTTTCCTCTTCCCTGATGCACTTAGATTCAACGGAAGACATGTCAACACCAACTGACTCAGACTTTGGAAAGAAGAATAAGAAGGAACAGATCAAAATGTGGTTCAGCCCAAGAAGTAGGAAGATTCGTTGTGTCCTGAACAAGAGTCAGCCTAAGACTAAAAGTGATGACCTTGGTCAAGACACACCTTCAACTTATGATTTCTTTCCTTCCCCTCCTCATGAAAAGCCCTCCAAGCCGATAAAAAAGCCAGCACAGAGACAGGGTAAGAAGATGAAGAAGAAACGTCTAGCAGACATTAACAAAGTGTGGAGCTTGGAGAAGCCTGAGCAGAAAGGAGGTGTTGAGGAGAAGACTCCCAAGAACAAGTGTGTGACCATCTGCAGCCAACCAGTAGTCCTGTGCACTCCGGAACCAAATAGCCCTGAAGAGACACTTCAGCAGGAGTCTGTAAAGGAAGCTGACTCCGGCAAAAATATGGAAAATATGGAGATATTACCAGAGGTAAAATCCTCAGAGAAGAAGGATAACAGCGAGGTTGCGTGCCCTGCACAAGTCAGCAAGGAAAACAGTTGTGCTACAGGGACATCATTGTCAGTAGGAAATGAAACTACGCCTTTAAAACGTGGAAGGGAGCAATCCAGACTGCCAGTTACTTCTCAGAGTAAAAGGCCACGAACAACCGAGAGGAGCATGATTGAGAAGACAGGCAGGCAGGCAGATGGCTTAGAGGGGTTACCTCCAGGTTGCCCCATCTCCCCAGCGACTGAACGCAAGACACCAGTTAAGATTTCTTCCTCTGTATCGAAGCTCACTGACCCTGTAATGAAGACAAGAAGCTCTGCAGCCTTTCAAGCAATAAATAGTCCTTCACTTTCAAAATCTCCCTCTACCCCATCTACTTCTAAGACTTGTAATCAAGTAGGAATACCACGCAGTCCTTCTGAGTTGAAGTCCCCTGCTGGTAACGCAATTGCCAGAAGAAATTACAAAGGAGAGACTTTGCTCCATGTTGCATCCATCAAGGTAGGATCGTCATCTTCTAGTTCAACTTTAAACGGGTTTAAAAAGACAGTGTTGTAATTAAAATATCCTGGAAGCCAATTACTACACTACGTCCTGTTTCTGGGGGGTGAAATCTCATCTTGTGGTCTTTTTCTTCCAGATTTATTAGGGAGCTTCCAACCTGATTCTCTGATTTCATAAAGAAATGACTATTGGAGTGATCAAAGATGGTTATACTTAAGAAACTCAATGTACTACAGTGTCAGTTATACATACCTATGAGTTCTAGGAAGTGATCAGTATTGAAATGTTTGGCCTTATGTGCCAGAAAGCTGTCGTTGTGGTTTGCCATAAGGAGTTTGGCTAAGTATTTCAGATACCACCAAGTGATCTTGATCAGCTTAACTCGACCTAGTTACTCAATCAGGACAAGATCTGAATTACCTACATAAAGATAACTATGCAACCTTAATTGAGGTTAACTATTTCATAATCTTTGAGATCCTCCATCTGATATAAGTGTTGGCTCAAGAGGAACAAAATGCTGCACCCTGGGATTTCCATGCTGAGCCCTACGCTCTGAGCATCCCATTCTTGCAGCTAGTGAAGAAGGGTGAATTAGGACAGAGTTGGGATGTTCTCAGTAGACTTCACTTCTGTGTAGGATCAATGTTATTCTTGGAGTGACAGCTGTCACTCATTTTGCTGGTACCATCTTAGCCAGTTCCTGCTGTGGTGGAAATTCATGGCTTTGCTCTTTGCAAGGGCTGTCCTTCCCTGTTACTGTGTGAAAGCTGCACGCAGGTGGGGTAAGTTGAATGCTTGCAGTCAAACTCATCAGATGCACTAATATGGCAGCTCTCTTCCCAGAGGTCATTTCAAAGAGTTTGTAGTCAGGCAATTTAAATGTGCTTTGTGACAAATCATAATATACAAATACTGTGTGGTTAGTAAATGCCTGTACTGGTAGAATTGATTCACCTCTAGGCATCCTGACGTTTATTCAGCACTTCTATTTGTTGAGACAAAGGCTGTTATTGATAAATAACTTTCATCTTCCAAAGGCATTCTAATAAGCCACTCCTGCTGCATGAGACCTTCTTAAATGGAAGTGGCAGCTGAGCTTAGTTGAGTTCAAATATCTTACTTGATGCTATTAATATGGAATTAGGGAGGAGAAAATGAAACATTGTCCTCACAGGACTCAAAGAGCTTTAAAGGATAGATCTCTTGCTACCTCTTGTCCTAAGTCCTGTATACTGCTCTTTAATAAAGTGCTGTTACAAATTATCCTTCTATGATTTTCTGGGAATTTGTAAGGAATGCTGTTATGACTTATGACTGACTGGTTCTAAAAAAGTTGATCTACCTCGACAAGTTTTCACACAGGTATGCTTTCCAGCAAGGTGTCTGATACTTCTTTAGAACACGAGTATTTCTTCTAAGAAACCAGCATCTCTGCAGCTTATTGTGAGACTTGGAGTGAACAGTGACATGCCAGTAAGGTAGTTTGCATTGCAAAGAGTTTTGAAGAGAAATGAGTAAAAATTAAACAGTTCATGCTATAGACAAAAAGAATAATCAAGTTTTGATTGTCCAAGTTTGGGGGCGTAGCTGACACTGCTTGTTGGCGTTGGTACAGCCCTTCCTGAGAAAGAGTTAGGGTTATTCCAGTGGGCTGAGAAGCTGAGCTCCAGCTGTAGTGTAGGCAGTGGAGTGGGCAGACAACGTGAATGCTTTCTTCAGTCCTGTATGTGAATTCATTTTGTAGCCTTTCATTGCAGCCTTCCAGTACTTAAAGGGGG